CTGTAGAGATTCTGTAAATAAGTGAGGGGGAAAAGTGGACTTTTCCTTTAACTGGTGTAGAAATAGATGGGCCTACTGACTTGTTCTTTTCATATAGGAGCTGAAGACTGGACTTAAGGGGGCATGTTCTTGAAAGTATAAGGTTCTTTTATTTCTTTTAAGGAGTTCATTCATTCAACAAACAATAGTTGTTGAGCAACTGTTACAGGGTAGACATCAAAATGCTAAGAAGACTGATATGGCTTAGGTGTTCTCTGCTCTTTGAAGCCATATCTGTTGACTTTGGAATTTCTCATTTTTTTTTCCCACTAATGGCCAGGGACATAGCCACATTTTGAGGATTATTCCCTCTGTGAGCAAAGATGAATGCTTGAGAAATAAGATGGCTTACCAGGGTTAGGTATAAGTGGTGGCTATAGAAACCTTTAATACTAGATCTGTGCTGCCCAGTATGGTGGACACAGATGCATATGACTGTCAGATACTTGAAGTGTGGCTGGTCGTATTGAAATGTACTGGAAGTATAAAACATATTCTAGATTTAGAAGACACTGTGGGAAAAGAACTTTAAGTAACTTAGTAATGACTTTGATAGGGAAGTATCTTACATTTCACCTGGTCTGTTGTGAGCTTCAAAGCAGCACATGAGACTAGTACCATTTTTCTTTCCAGCTATTTCAGTGCCCTTATCCTGGTGGAAGGTATGGATATTGAGTCCCTGCATAAGTGTGCTTTGGATGATAGGAGAGAATTGCACCAATTTGCTCAGGATGGGCTTATTTGTCAGGTGAGCTTGGAAGAGCTACTTTTTTTTCCTGTCAGATGGTTTATAGTTAGTAGTGTGTTCTTAAACACTGAACTATCCTGCTGCATAAAATTTTCAGTGATGTGAATTTATTAAATAGTTAATTAGATTTGGAAGAAGTCTGGGTTTTTTTTGGTCATCCTTATAGAGGTGACAATTGAATTTGTGAGGGCATTTATCATGGAGATGGTATAAGAAGAAAAGATGCCTGAAGACAAAACCTTGGGGATAGTCTGTTATTTTGGGATTTGTGAAAAAGGAAAAGGGGTGAACATTGAGATGAGGTAGTTAGAAAGGTAGAAAATGGGCCAGGTGTGGTGGTACATATCTGTAATCTCTGTGATTTGGGAGCCCAAGGCAGGAGGATTGCAAGTTTGAGGCCAGTCTCAGCAAATTAATGAGATGCTGTGCCAAAATAAAAAAGAAAGAGCTAGGGATGTAGCTTATTGGTAGAGCATTTCTCTATAATGTATAAGGCCTTGGGTTCAATCTTCAGCACCAGGAAAACAAAATTAGGAAGGAGAATCAAGGTAATGAAATTTATAGAGTTTTCATATGAGCATGTGTTTTACAGTTTTAAATTAAGACTGCTTAAAATCAATAGGAAAAAACTTCTAAAGGGAAAAGTAACTGAGGCGCTTGTTAGTGAGCTGGCTGGGATTTAAGAACAGTGAAATATTAGAATGGGAAAGTGAGACCTCTTTGGATGAATGAAATGCTTATTGAACTTAACTCTTTCTCTTCAGAGATACAGATATGTTTTCTCCCTTCATTAGGATATGGACCACTTGATGTTGACCTTTGGGGACATTCTACATCATGCCCCGGTGCTTTTGGCCTGGGCTCTCCTCCGTCACACCCTGAACCCAGAAGAAACAAGCAGTGTGGTCCGGAAGATAGGTGGCACAGCTATCCAGCTGAATGTATTTCAGTATTTGACTCGACTACTGCGGTCACTTGCCATTGGGGGAAATGATGTGAGTCCAGGTTGTTGGTTGAGTGTCAGGGGCAAAAAAGCTGGGCAGAGCCATGAGAACAGTGAGAATCCTAATAGTGAAGTGGATAAGAGTGAAAGTGTAACTAACCTTTATAAAGCAGACCCTGCTCAGCACTTTCTAATTTAATCCTGATTATCACTTTGTTTAGGATTATATTGTCTTATTTTATGCATTAGGAAATTGAGATTGAGGGAGGTATAATTTGCCCAAAACGACAGTAGCCAGTAAGTGGTGGATAGTTTGAACTCATTATCTGACTCTTTGCCAATAAAGTGTGTTAGAAAACAGGGTTGGGCCATTTTTGACTGGGTATTCCTTTCTGGGGGACTTACTCATTCAGCTGGACCAGGATGAATGGAAATTCTCTTGAGCCTTGTGTTGGGGATTATTTTGAGTGATATGGCTCACATAACTTATTTTGATGTACTAAAATAAAGATAGCTCAGTGGTCGTTACATTTGCCTAGCATATGACACCCATGGTTGGATTCCCAGTACCACAAAAAATAAAATGAAACTTTAGGTTCGGCATTTACGCTCCTTGGTATGTACTCAGAGTCTGAGTTGGAGACTAATGAATGTCCACACACAGAAAAACTGTGCACAGATGTTTATAACTTTATTCATAATTGCCAGAATTTGAAGGCAGCAAAAATGTCCTTCAGTAGGTAAAGTAAACTGGCAAATTCAGACAATGAGTATTATTCAGTGCTTAAAGAAATGAGCTATCAAACTATGGGAAGACATGGGAGGAACCTTGAATGCATATTACTAAGTAAAAGAAGCAATTTGAAAAGGCTACATGGTGTGTGATTCTAAGGATAAGACATCCTGGAGAATTCAAAACTCTTGAGACAGTAGAAAGAATATTGGTTAATTGGTAGAGGGGGGATGAATAGGCTGGGTATGGAGGATTCATAAGACAATAAAATGGCACTGTATGATGTGAACCTGAAACTGCTGTAAAACAGTCTATAAAAAGGAAACCACAGACTTTAGCCAAAAGTTCCTGCTGGCTGGCACTGGCTGATTAATGATGGCAGTTCAGGCCAGGTGTCATTTGTATCAGCTCATAGAGACAGTAGTCCTTCTGTAGGCTGGATTGGGTTTTCTTTTTAAGAGAGAGAATTTTAATATTTATTTTTTAGTTTTCTGCGGACACAACATCTTAGTTTGTATGTGGTGCTGAGGATCGAACCGGGCCACACGCATGCCAGGCGAGTGCGCTACCGCTTGAGCCACATCCCCAGCCCTGGATTGGGTTTTCTTTTCCCCCATACAAACTTTTTTTTTTTTTTTTGTCCTAATTAGTTATACATGACAGTAGAATGCACTTTGACACATACATAAATGGAATATAACTTCTCATTTTTCTGGTTGTACATGATGTAGAATCACACCAGTTGTGTAGTCTTCTGTGCACATAGGGTAATAATGTTGGATTTATTCTAATATCTTTCCTAACCCCATGCCCCTCCTCTCCCTTCACTGCTCTCTGCCTAATCCAAAGTAACTTTATTCTTTCGAAGTACCCTTTCCCATACAAACTTTGATCACTTTGAAAATGATTGTTTTGATTTTATTGTTGGCTGTTGTAATGTTCGTGTTCCTACTTTTTTGTTTCTCCCTTAGTCGTCCTGATCTTATAACTAAATTAGGAAAATTGTGAAAGTTTCAGATTCCCTTCCCATTTGTTTACAAGTACTATATTAACACAAGAGAATTATGCTGAGTCTGGAAGGAGCTGTAAACTAATCACCAACTCCTTTGCCATTCCAGTGTACCACAAGTACTGCCTGCATGTGTGTCTATGGCCTCCTCTCTTTCGTTCTGACCTCGTTGGAGCTGCACACGCTGGGAAATCAGCAGGTCAGTCTGTCTTTCCTGAGGCTCTGTCCTACTCAGCTTAGCAATCAGATTCCTACAGCTCCCTCTTTAGATCTTATATTGTGTTTTTCACATGTTAATTTGTTCATTGCTGTTTATATTCATTTATAATTTTTTCCTTTTATTCATTTATTTTTTTGGTAGAGGGGATTGAACCAAGGGTGCTTAACCACTGAGCCAGGTCCCCAGCCCTTTTTAGTTTTTATTTTGAGACAGGATCTAAGTTGCTTAGTTGCCTTGCTAAGTTTCTGAGGCTGCCTTTAAACTTGTGATCCTCCTGCTTCAGCCTTCATAGTTGAGGAGATTATAGCATGCACCACTGTGCCCGGCTGTATTCATTATTTATTATATGAATGATGTATGTTAATTGTAGAAAAAATAGAAAATGCTGATAAAAAGAAAAATGTAATCCTATCACACAGGTTAACTTCTATGGACATTTTGATGTGTTCTCTGATGTTTTCTACCTGTATGTACATAAAAATATAATAATTTTTTTTTAGAAATAAAATCATAATGTACAGTCATTTTTTGGTATCTCTTGGGGATTGATTTCAGGAACCCCTGAGAATATTAAAATCCACTGATGGACATCCTCTAGAATACTTTAATTTAAAATCATCTCTAGGGGCTGGGGTTGTGGCTCAATGATAGAGCACTTGCCTAGCATGTGTGAGGCCCTGGGTTTGAGTCTCAGTACCACATATAAATAAAATAAAGGTCCATTTATAACTAAAATTAAAATATATATATATAAAGAAATAAAGTCATCTCTAGATTACTTATATACAATGTAAACAGTGTGTAAATAGTTATTATGCAGTCTTATTTAGGGATAATGACAAGAGGAAAAAGTCTGTAAATATTCAGTATAGATGCATTTTTTTTTTCTCAAATAGTTTTGATCTGTGGTTGGTTGAATCTGCAGTTGTGTAACTGTAGATAGAGAGGGCCAACTGTATACTATTTTGTAACTGCATTTTTAAAATTCATCTATCCCAGACATCTTTGGTTGTTTTTTTGTTTGTTTGGTACTAGGGATTGAACCCAGAGGTGCTTATTTACTGAACACACCCCCAGACCTTTTTTTTTTTTTTTCTCTTTGACAAACTGTTTATTAAATTCTTATCGGTATGGGATGAATATTATTACATCCTAGAATCCCAGACTCAGGGAGGTGGTAAAGTAGCAATGGTAAATTTGGGTATCTGGTCTCCCAAAAGTACCTGCCGCTCTACTCCCAATTCTTCAGTGGCTGCCAGACGGATCACCCCTCCACTGGAGCCATCCGGTTCCATAGCCAAAGCAAGAGCATTGGCAGTGAACTACAGACACTCCTCCTTAGTCATGCCTTCACGGTAGGTAGCATCAACATAGCCATAGATATATGAACTCCCAGAGGCTCCAATGGCAAAGGACTGCCTTACCGTCATACCTCCCATGGGAACTGAGTATACCTGTCCTCCTTCTTGAGGATCCCAGCCAGCAATGATAATTCCCGCCATCAGATCTTTCCGGTATTGGTAACACATCTCCTTAAAGAGGCTGGCTGCTGTGTGCACCAATGGAGGCTCATTCATTTCAATGCTGTGGAATCCAAGCTGATAAGTGACAGCATCTGCTACAGCCTGGGTGTCAGCTGCAGAGCCTGAACGGCAGCAGAAAATATGGTCATGAATAGGAATCAGCTTGTCAGTCACTCGATTGGCGATATAGGACCCAGTGGTTGTTCTGGAGTCTGCCCCCAGAACCACACCCCCGTCAAATTGCACAGCCATGATAGTGGTCCCTGTGGAGACTTCCCGGTTTTCCCAGTCTGGGGCGACAGCCTCCTGCCCCCAGGCGGATGCGGGACCCTCTCCTCGAGCAGCAACTAAGGTGGCAAACATGTTCCTCCTCCTCTGCTGCCACAAAGCAACTGTCGTAAAGCGCTCTACCCCAAGACCTTTTTATTTTTCATTTTGAGATAGGGTTTCACTAAGTTGCTGAGACTGGCCTCAAACTTGCCATCTTCCTGCCTCAGTCTCCAGAGTTGTTGGGATTACAGGTGTGCACCACCTTGCCCAGCTTACAGTTGTTAATAAGTTTTCTTTATTTTAATAAAAATTCAACATTTTTAAGAAATACTAAATTTCAACTTGTACCAAAGTAGAAAAAGTTGTATAATTAACCCTTGTAATCCCATCACCAGCTTCCAATATTTATCTACTCAGAGCTAATTTTATTTCATTTCTACTCCTTCCCAAATTCTTTTGAAGCAACTTCCAGATGTAGTATTTCATATCATTTATGAATATTTCAGTAAAACTTAACTTTTCAATTGTTATCACACCAAAAAAAAAAAAAAAAGCACTCAGTATCTTCAAAAATGAAGTCCAGGTTCAAGTTTCCAATTATCTTATATATGTCATAAATTTTACATAAGTTTGGGTTGGGATAAGGTTCAAATATTGTAATAGGTTGGTGGCCACAAGTCACATGGCTATTTAAATTTAAATGATTGAAATTGAAAACTCAGGTCCTCAGCATCATTGGCCTCATTTCAAGTGTGTTAATGGTCATGTCTGGTTAGTGGCTTCCATATTTGAAAGCACAGCATACCTAGAACCTTCCCATCATATAAAGTTAGGATGTTGTCCAGTGTTATCTGTAAATTCACTTTCTTTTTAGTGCTGCTGACAGTTTTGTTGTTGATTCTGACATTGTTCCTGGTGACTACCTTATTTTCTGGATTTTGCTGATTGCATCCCTGTGATGCAGTTTAATATGTTCTTTCATCCTTTGTATTTCCGCTAAGATCATTTAGGTTTGACTTTTTTTTTTTTTTGAGCAAGACTGCTTCCTAGATGATGTTTTGTACTTCCATCAGAAGTTAGTGTTGGTTGTCTTTTTATGTGATGTAAGCACCTATTGATGTTCTTTGTCTATTAGAAGAGAAAATTGCAAAATGGCACTTTAATTCTGTCTTTCCTTTGTTTATCAGTTGCAACATTTCTATACATTAACTATTTGGTACTCTGTTATAGAATTCTATACATACCTGATTCTTTTCTTGTATTTACCTGTTTTCTCTAGCACCCTCTCAAGGTATCTAGTGGGTTTTTTTTTTAATATCAATATGAGCTCATAGATTTATTCTATTTATCATTTTATTTTTTAAAATATTTTTAATACGTTTATTTTATTTATTTATATGTGGTACTGAGGATCGAACCCAGGGCCTCACAATTGCTAGGCAAGCGCTCTATCACTGAGTCACAACCCCAGCCCTATTTATTTATTTTAAAAAAATATATTTTACTTGTAGTTGGACAAAATACCTTTACCTTTCATTTATTTTTATGTGGTGCTGAGGATCGAACCCAGGGCTTTGAACTTGCTAGGCGAGTGTTCAACCGTTGAGCCACAACCCCAGCCCAAAATATTGATTTTTTTTTTTTTTAAATGTGGTGCTAGGGATTGAACCCAGGGCCTTGTGCATGCAAGGCAAGCACTCTACTTCCAGCCTGAGCTCATAGATTTAAACATACTGTGTTTTTCTTTTTCATAATATCTTTATTTTATTTATTTATTTTTATGTGGTGCTGAGGATCGAACTCAGTGTTTCGTGCATGCTAGGCAAGTGCTGTACCACTGTGCTACAACTGCCGCCCTGCTAGCTGTGTTTTAATCTGTGCAGTTATTATTCTTGGGCTGAGATTGCCCCATCTTTGGTCAGTAAGGACTTTCCAATTGTCTTCTGAATTCATTTGACACTACCCTTATCTGTTTTGATAGCTCTATTGCTTACTGGTATGACAAGATATTACAGGATTATTGTGTAGGATTCTTGTTTCAGACCTAGAACCTGCTTTCCAAGTTGTTCTGATTCTTTTTAGTGGGAAATGATGTTTGATGAGTATCCTTAAAACTAAATCATTGTGTTCATTTTCAATAATTAGTCACTTGTTTTGTGAACTGATGGAAATTTCTTATTATTGGATAAAAATGAGATTGGTACTAATTCAAAGAATCAATTCCCCAAGCTCTGGGGCATAGAACAAGTTTTGCACACTTAGGAAAATTCTAATCACAATGGAAGGATCTGGTCCTATTCTATGCTTGGAGAATAGATATAACATGTTGTAGGAGTCGTGGTGCTTGGTTTAAAAAAAAAAAAAAAAAGACTCTGTAAGCATTTATTAGATGCCCAGTGTGTGTTTAACTCTGTCCTGGGTGTTAAGAATAAAAATATTAAAAAGATATTGTTTTTTTGTTTTGTTTTGGTACTGGGGATTGAACCCATGAGCACTTAACCACTGAGCCATATCCCCAGTCCCTTATATATTTTATTTGAGACAGGATCTCACTAAGTTGTTTAGGGAGAGCCTCTCTAAGTTGCTGAGGCTCTAAGTTGACCTCATGATCCTCTTGCCTCAACCCCCTGAGCCGCTGGGATCATAGGCGGGCGACACCACGCCTGGCAAGACATTGTCCTTGCCCTGCCTGTTAGGAGCAAAGTAAAGGTGAGTCTAGTTGTAATACCTTACTTATATACTAGTTTTGAATTTACAGCCAACTTGCTTTTATTCCTTACACTCAAAATAGTACCATGAGCTATTATTTTCCCCATTTTACAAACGAGCATGTGAAATTCAGAGAAGTGAAATGTGTATACAGCATATACAGTATGCACCCTGGACAAGGTGTGATCTTATTCTTTAAACCCAGAATTTTTTGTAACATATATGGAGATGTTTATTGGTGTTTTTATGTGAACAGAATACAGTAAGAAAAAAAAAAAAAGACACTACTTCAACCAGGGAAAAGGAACAATTTCTTCCCTCCCCCAACAGGATGTAATTGACACAGCGTGTGAAGTCCTGGCGGACCCTTCTCTTCCAGAACTCTTCTGGGGAACAGTAAGTATGTTGGAGGGAATCATACTCTGACATTACTCTGGACCAAAAGGATTTATCAGACATTTTGTGAGAGGCTTTATATTTAGGTTTTGCAAGTATTTTCTCACTTAATTGTCAAAATATCTGTGAGGTAGAGACTGTTATTGATGCCACGTTGTGTATGATGAAATGTGATGCCTAGGGATATGAAGGGATTCCACCAACGTTACACGGCCAGAAAGAGACAGCAAGGACCTAGTTCTATCTGACTTGAGTCTGTAGCCCAAATCATCCACCAATGTGTTATCACCAAGTCTTTTTTCATATTGACAGTCTTTCAACAACCAGGATTCCTAAAACTTTTCTCCGTGTGTTTGTGTGTTCACTGGGGATATAACCCAGAGCTTCTCTACCAAATTTATCCTTTGAGATCGGTTTTTACTAAGTTGCCCCAGCTGGCCTTGAACTTGTAATCCTCCTGCCTCAGGCTCCTGAGTCACTGGAACTTCGGGCATATGTCTCCATACTTCACTTTTGGCTTAGGGTCCTGCAACTCTTCTTTTTTTTTTTTTTTTTTTTTTTTTTCATATATATATATGCCTGTGTATATTATTCTCTTTCTCCTGAGATGCTATTTACTGTTACATGGATTGAACCCAGAGGTTCCTCACTACTGAGTCACATCCCCAGCCCTTTTTATTTTGAGATAGGATCTTGCTCAGTTGCCAGAGACCTCACTAGGTTGCTGAGGCTGTCTTTGAACTTGCAATCCTGCTGCCTCAGCCTCCTGATGATTCCTCTCAAAAATACTTAGAGGGTTGTAACTAGATCTTACCAAGTCATCAGTATTGTGATTGGTTTGAGCATTTGGAAAGAATGGTTTTTCACCAGCACTGGTGTTAGCATTGACAGTGACTTCAAATGTCTGTTTTCAAACCTGTACCAAAGCCAGACTGATCTGCCTGTGTGTATTAACCTCTTTCTCCTGAGTTGCTGTTTACTCTTACAGATGCTAGCAATATCCCTGGTAGAAGCTGGTGTGAACCAGTATGTAGATGGAGCATCTTTGCTTGTGTGTGGTGGCTAGCTGCTGACGTGTTTTAGGGTAGTTTTCACGTCAGTGGAAACATTGTACTAAGGAATAAATTATCTTCTCATAGAAAGGGTGGCCAGGAAGAAGAGATCACTGGATAGACTTAAGAGTTGCTTTTCAGATGCCAGTTAAATCAAATCCCAACTGAATGTTGTCCTTTCTCAGTGGGGACATGAAAGTCTTAGATTATTAGGGAAGGATTGCTTCTAGACTTTCTGAGGATTATCAGGCAGTTCTGAAGAATAGTGACTTCTCCCCTTCCGCTGTAGGAACCAACTTCTGGTCTTGGGATCATTCTGGACAGTGTATGTGGAATGTTCCCCCATCTCCTTTCCCCACTCCTGCAATTACTCCGAGCCCTGGTATCAGGAAAGTCCACTGCCAAAAAGGTAAGTTGTTCAGTTAGCTCCCTAAATAGAACCTGAGATGCTGTTCAGGAGAGACAACTATCTCTGTGGAGAGAGGGGATAACTTGAGTGGAGATTAGGTAGGAGAGCAGAAGGTGATTCCAAGATGATCTACAATGGTGGACTGGGAAGGAGTTTGAGGACCAGTTTACGCAGTCTGGTTAACAGAGCAGACTTGGGACCCCCATGAATGTTCTGTAGGTAAATGTGTGATTCAGTTTCTTTCTGCATGTTGCCAGGTGTATAGTTTCCTAGATAAGATGTCTTTCTACAATGAACTTTACAAGCACAAGCCCCATGATGTAATCTCTCATGAAGATGGAACTCTTTGGAGAAGGCAGACGCCCAAACTCCTATATCCTCTGGGTAAGGAGATCCTCAGTGCCGCAGCCTTTCTCACAGCAGCTCTCCTTAGACCACCTTGCTGCTGGGTTGATCCTTTTGTGTGAGGTGATTGTAGAGCAGCTCCTTGTCATCTCACCATGTTTGTTGATTCATTGATAAATAATTAGTTTCTCTCCCTCTCTCTCTTTTTTT